GGTTGAGGTTCTCTGGAAATGGTGCATCCACAATCTCGTCAACGAAGGGGCTGTCATTGTATTTCCCCCTGTGATACTTCCTCCTGTAGACCCCGGATACGTCGTTCGGGTTTGGGTTCTGGGATGGGCGGCAACAACCAGATCTGTTACCCGAGAATCACCAACTGCACCGTTTGGTGCCTGCACAGCATCTGCCGTTCGTTCCTCCATCGGTTGTAACCCTTGCACGTATGGGGCGTCTGGATTGACGGCTGGAGTTGATGCCGAATCGGAGTGCACATCACTCACATGCACTTCATCGGTATCTATCTGCCGATGATCCGATGGATTCTCCCTGATTAAAGAAATAGGCTGGATCCTGGAATTCGATCTTGATGGTTGTCGAAATCCACTTCTTGTCGCTCTCACCATCGTGGCTTTCGATCACGTAGTAGTGGAAAAGCGTTTCCCACAGACGGCGTCAATGTTCTGCCGTGGGCAGAGGTGTCCGACCGTAAGTCGGTTGTTTGATGTTGGATCTATAGTTTTCTCTCTAGATACCTATAGATTAAATATCTTGGGGACAGCAAATCACTACACACAATACGATGGCCTTAGCGTGAAGGGGTGTGTGTGTGCGTTGTCGTGTTTGAAAGAAATAGGGTTAGAGAGATCCGCCATACATGTGATCTTTAGCCCCTACTTATAGAGCTTACCTTTGGGCTTGTGTAGGTTGGGCTTCTTGCTGTCATGGGCCTTTTCCTGGTCCATAACAAGTACAAAGAATTTTAATTTTTATAAAGTGATTCAAATCAAATAAAGTACATTTCATTTTACGCAATATAATATTTTTTTTAATCTGTATTGCCAAGGATTTTCCACTATTAAAAGCTTATTTAATAAACGCATTTGTCAATAATGAAACTAATTTTATTGATATTTAAGTTTGTTTGTTTTTTTTTGAGGTTATAAGGAAACAAAACACAAGACAAGACAAAAACAGATAAAAGTCTAAGCCCTACTGTCAGCTAATACTAGCTAGTCTGGGAAAATTCACTCCAAGGCAATCCTTACAGTATTACAGATTCACTGAGCCTGAGACTCGGTGCATCTCTTAGTATTTAATAAAAAATATCATTTTATTAAAGTATTACTTACTACAAATGCATCGGAAGTAAGCTCGTCCGCAAGGAGATGCACATTTTCGATGTCATTAGGAGGAATTTTTTTTTAATATTACAATGTTTCCTTTTTTCGAAACCAAATTCTTTTTATATCATTTAAATCCTTATCTTTTGGTTTATTTCCTTACATGTCCTGATTATTTTTTATTTTAGGCAATGATGTACCACAAAGATTCACTCCACTAGGAGTAGGTATTCTCTTTTTTTAAATGAATATATATATATATATATAAGAAAATAATTATAAAAATAGGGATTCTATTTTGGATAAAAGATATACAAAATATTCGTTGTAGTACTAAAAATATTTTCTCGGAGGAGAAAAATAAGGGTCTGGTTCCTTGTGATTAGGGGTGTTAACGGGCCGAGTCGAGCCGAGCTTTAGTCTTAAAAGGCAAAGCCTGTGATTAAATGCGTGGGCCTTACCAAGCCTGTTACCTGTTACGAATATAATTATCGGCTTGTGACCTGCCTTATTTACAAAAAATAAAAGCCTGATTTAGCCTGTTAGAAAAAATAAGACAATAGAAATTTATCCAAACAGAATATACAATCAACAACACTAGTAATTCCATAAATATTCATAAATTCAAGTTATATCGAAACAACATAATATAGAACAAAATTATTCAAAAAATCGGTTTAACTAATAAAATAGGAGTGAAATGGATTGAGAGGAGAGATAAGGTTATTACAAATAGTATAAAAAATATAAATAAAAATAATAATTAATATACTAGGCCAGCCTGAGAGGCTCCAAGGCCGAACTTTTGAATTGGAGTCTGAAGCCTTTTTACTAAACGAGCTTTTATACAAGTCCAAGCCTGGTTCCAACAACCAATATTAGGCATGTAAGCCTCAACCTTCACGAGCCGAGCCAAAGGCCCCTAGCTCGTTTATCATCTCTACTTGTGATATATGTTTTTTTGTTCTTAAAATTATTTTGTAAAATAATTAATTAATAATGTTTATTTTTTTATTTTGAAAGTGAAAAATCAAAACACAAAACAAAAATAAGTCAGATATATTTTCTAAACTTGATTCTAAAAATAAAAAAAAATGATAAAGTTTAGAATTATTTTTACAAAACAAGCCTTATCAAATAATTTTTTTATATTTTTATTTTAAAAATTAAAAAAAGAAATTAAAACCAAGATTCAAACATGCCCTAAACTCTTGGCAGAGAGCTAGGGTGGCTTCACTGGCTTGCGAGTCATCTAACTCCCAATCTTTTACATATCAAGCATGAGATCTTGGATTTTTATAAATTTTCAAATATTTAAAAAATATAATAACCAAATATGAACCGAGACGCAAGTAGACAGAAAATAACTTATAATCGCTAAAGGTGTACATAATCAAGGAAGCACGGACACTTGTAAAAACAGGAAGAGTCGGGTCCGACACGCTTCGACACAGTGACACGCTCCGACACGATCCGACACGGTGTCGGACACGCGGTTGACTTTTTCCGACACGACCATTCCGACACGCGAATTTGACCGTGTCCGACACGTCAAATGGCATTTTCGTAATTAATTTTTTTTATTTATTTATTTTTTTTAAATTTTTGTTTTTTTTAAAAGTTAAAATATATTAATAAAGCTTCCACCTGATCATATCAATTTTATCTTTTTGTCTTTTTTCTCCTTAAGTAGATAAGAGATCATCTCAGCATCATTGTTGTCAATTCCTATTACGCTCTTATTGTATCTTCTTCTCTCTGATCTCTCTCTAATATGATTTGATCTCTCTATCTGATATTATATATCTCTCTCATCCCAGTTCTTATTTTTTTATTAAAGCTTCCATCTTTATAACGTGTTGATGGGTATTATTAATTTAGTTTCATTTTTTTGCTAAATTATTAAATATTAAATGAAATATACACTATATAAATTAAAAATATTATTTAATATTAAAACGTGTCCCAACGTGTCGAAATCCATAATTTTTTAGGAATGACGTGTCAGAGTATCGTATCGTGTCGTGTCGTGTCACGTGTCGTATTGGTGCTACATAGTACATAATAATCATTCTTTTCCTGTTTTTTAAATGATTTTTTTTCTATTTATGTATCCAAGATACAAAGTAGAAATTTATTTTTTCTTTATTTTTAGTTAAAAAATTGGACAAAATCAATTTATTATTATATTTCAGATAATAAGCCAGTTATTCGAGAACACAAATTAGCAGAAACATAAATAATTTTTTATTTCTTGACATATTATTTATTAAATACAGACATTATAAAATGTATTAACTTTCAATATACACTATTTATTAAAAATATTATTTATTAAACACACTCTCTTTTGGCATAAGATAATTTTTTTTTTTAAATACAGAAAAGAAAAATTCTATACAAAAACAATACCAGAGAACAGAATTATTATCACTCACCTATTGAACTAAAAAAAGTTGTTTCTTTTTTTAATTTCTCAATTTTATTCTTAGTTATCAGCTTATTCTTTGAAATAGAAAAATAAATTAACTTCATCAAATATATTTTTTAATTATTTATGTTTTCCAGATTAAAATTAAAGAAAAAAGGCATTTTCAAAAATACTGTCATAAACACCATAAGCACCTGAGAGGTAAAGACCCTATCATAGGTTCTTTCAAAGCTTTCGCTGAGAGATGAATGAGCTTCCTTCAACTCACAACTATTATATTAAATCCCACCATCGATCAAATTTTTTTCGGAATATTATTCTTGATTTTGAAGCATATATATAGCTATGTAAAAAATGAAACTATTTACAAAAAAAAAAAAATGAAACTAAATTGTTGACTGAATCATTGGGTTAAAACCTCGCACACACAACAAAGGAATTCTAAATTCACATCGAGTTCCAATGTAGAAAACCCTGGCTCCAGCAACATAAAATATGAAACTAGAGAGTTAGGCAGGCTTAATGAAGAAGATAATCAATGGGAGCCACATGCTATTAATTATCCATGGATAATATCAAAGTTATTTTTACTACAAGATCATGGCACTGTCTCTTCAACAACACAAATATCAGAATTTGAATAGAAAGATGGAAGTCAGGAAGGCTTCAAAGCTTGCCTCCCTACGTAAAAGGAATTGCAGCTCAATTTCGTCAGAAAAAGAAAATTCCTTTGCATATTAATTTCTCACAAAGGTGGATCCTGTCAAGAATATTTGGGATTAATTACTTACCAACAAGATGACCCTTTAATCTTCAAAGGTTGTATGTACTTCACCCAACTAAGGAATCTCTGAGTCGAAATCAACTAGAAGGATATTAACAATTCTCAATTCCTTGGTATGACCTTCTATATAGATTATTATAAGATCAGGTAACATGTATAATCCAGATTCACTCGCAAAACCGTAATTAAAAAAAGAAGGAAACAATAAAGAAGTAGTAGCTTTAGAGTTGCAGATAATAAATCTGACATCAAATAGCCTGAGCGATAATAGATACCCAGAATCTGCTTCATATACCCAGAGTAACAAGCAGGACAGCAACTGGATTATCTGATCACATTCACTTGAGTCATCAGTTTTTCCATGAAAACCTCTTAGAATAATCTGCTTCATATACCCAGAGTAACAAGCAGGACAGCAACTGGATTATCTGATCACATTCACTTGAGTCATCAGTTTTTCCATGAAAACCTCTTAGAATAATGTGTATAGCATAGCACCTGGATGAAGCTACAGCAGCAAACCACTTGCACTACATCACATTGAGGTATGTATCTGCAAAACAGAAAATACCAAAAGAAAAACCATGCGAGAGGGGGAGGAGGGAGATCAACAAAGACTAACCAGCTGGGTGTCATTTCAGCAAATGAAAAGCTGATTTTATTAAAAATATTAAATGTATGTACAGGAGGCCTTGTTCTTCATTTGTAAGAGCTACGACCAAGATGGTGTTTGCTAACATATAATCACTAGGAATACTAACTTGAACCTTGAACAAAAAGATCTTTACAGTGGAAGTCACGAACTTTTAACACTACCAAAATCCAAAACTGCTGGAAAGGTCACTCAAAAAACAACTTGGAGTGAATAGTCTACCAAAGAATCTATATAGCCTAATTGTGGACAGGATTAGCCATAAGACCATCCTATGTAACTAGTCATTTCTTAAAAGTACTTTGTTTCCTTTGTTATTGGTATAATGAACAGGACTATACAAAGAAAGCAGCTCTAAACCATCATATTCAAGTCTGAAAGGTCATCCATGGGAATTTCAAGGCCCATAAAGTCATTATCTTGTAGTCCATCGTCTTCAATATCCAACCATGAACCAATATCCTGACCTTGGTCAGTAAGATCATCAGGAACACCAAGTACGTCCATTCCAGGTAGCTGCAGGTTGGACAAATCAATAGGCTCATGGTCATCCAATCCACCCAAGCCAAACTCATCCTTTTCCTTGGCATTGCTATTAGTATACATTTCATTAGACTTTGAAACAGAAGGCAACGCTGGTTTTGGTTGCTCTGATAGCTTACCAAGGAGGCCATTTACAGAAACAGAATGGTGAGTTGCTTTCTGCTTAGGCTTTGTTTTGGATTTTCTTTCTCCCCTAGCGCTGGATGATGCTGGCCTACCAATTTTGGTAGTTCCATTTCTGGATAGAACCTCTCTGCTGTGCCCCTTTCCATCTCTGTCCCTCTCACTTCTCTTTCCTTTTGCACTACTTGTTAGAGAACTTCCAATGCCACAAGCACTTGAAGTACCTGGAGTACCACCAACGTCATCAAGGGACAATTTCCTCTTCTTCACCCTGTTCGACCAGAGATCTCCCTTCCCACTATTTTGTTCAGATGAATGATTTAAAGCAGGAAGCATATCTGATGAATTGAGATCATTATTATCCATATTCTGAATAAATTGTGATGGGCTCTGTTGTGAACCCACGGAAGCTGCAGAAAGACAGACAGATAAATCAAAATATCAAAATCTGGCTTCTGCTGAAAGGAGCAAAAGGAAAAACAATATGATTTGACATAACAGATCAGACACAGAAGATGGCACATACAATTAAAATTAGAATGTAAGCAAAAAGGGTCAAGCTGAACACAGCTGAGATAGAAGAAACAAAAAGTAGATTAGAGCATTTATTCCAGAAAGTAAAGAAGAATACACCTGTTCTTGCGTCCATGGAAAGGGAAGGAGCATATGGTTTTGAGGATTTAGCCTCCATTCCATCTAATTGCCGAACCATAGAAAGCTGGGAAGAGGCAGCAAGTAACATATCCTTGAATAAAGGCTCGCTGAAGCAGCTCTTGCCTGTATCTTCAAATTGAAGGCATTGATCCAATGTCCGTTTAACAAGTCCTTGAATAAAGGCTAGCTTGGCCATTTTGTTGCTTGAATTTTTCCCACCCGAAGGACTAGGACCACAACAAGCCTGTCAACCAATCATTAGTCAATTCATTCTGCCATATGACCTAATTTTAAAATACAGGGCATTTTTTAGGGTGAGCCTTGCAGCAACATCAAGGTTGCTACCTTGTGACCTGGCAGTCATGGGTTTTAGTCACAGAAACAGCCTCTTCACTCACAGGTAATAATGCATACATCTTATCGTCCCTAGACCCCACAATTATGGGACTTGGGAGCTACATGCATGGGCCACCCTTTTATTGCCTCTACTAGTAAACAGAAGGTTTGACTCTTTCTAAGATAATTTAGATTATTTTAAACAAGGTAACGCAAAGCATGAAATTTTGCTTCGCTAATAAAAACCAAGAATTAGACAAATATATCCCGTCTGAATTTAAATGGTAGAGTACGGATTTCTTCACCCGATACAAGTCTTATGGGAACACTACAATCACCTACTTTTATGCGTAAAATACCTTCCAGCTCCAGCAGCTGCATTATGGATACACACACTGCAAAACACATGGTCCTTGTACACTTTGATGTGTCTCTTCTATCCCCCCCCCCCAAAAAAAAAAAAAAATAGAGAATCTAGACCAGGGTGTCACTCTGAATTCATCATCCATTAGTGTAATATAAAGATCCCCATCTATCAAACAACTATTGTAATACAACTCTAGATCTTTGGGGCACATAACCAAATTAGCATGCAACAATTTTATTCTAAAACTGAAAATCGGATCCTATAAAAAAAAGTAATATTGTATCTCAAGAAGATTACCCTGTATTTCTCATAAGTCAACAGAACAAGTTTATCAAGAGCACGTTGTTCAAAATCCCTGTTAAACAGAAGTTTACATTTCCATTCAGAACAATGAAGGCACAAGAGGTTAAATTAAGCAAATAATCAGAGCATAAATGGCAGTGCAATTACTTTTCTTGAAGTTCTTTAGCCACTGAGGCAGATTTCAACAATCCATCTAGCAAGCCTTTCTTCTTGGAAATCTATGATATACAAGAAAATAAATATCATGAAGTGAATTACATAAGATAAAAATTAACTTTATTAAATGTCGAATGAAATTTATTAATCAAATATCTCAATCTCTACAACTGATCTATATATTTACATAAACTTGAAAAGTAGTATATAAATAACTAATGTGTGAAATATTACGTAACAAATCATAATTATGGGTAAAAAAGATATTGACAGTTAGCACAGTATAACTCGGCTTCAGCATCAGTCAGTACCTGTCCTCTGTAAAGCTCTTCTAACCTAGTAATATCTTCCAACATTCCTTCATCATCTGCTTGCAACATTTCAGGCTTGAACAAGGAAAATTAAAATAAGTATAGTATAACATACTAAAGATTTAACAACCAAGGTCAAAACATCTAGAAGTAAATCCATTAGTTACATCAACAAGAAGACTTCTGACAGAACTACAGAACAAACTAGAACAATATAGTTTAAATCCATTGGATTAGGCGAGTAAGCTTACCACTGGTTCTAGGGCAATTCCGATACTTTGAAGCTCCAAGAGAAGCTTATCATTTATATCCAAGTTATCATATCGCGACTCTGAATATGTCAAGCTAGACATTAATGCTTTATCATGAAGAAAACCATTTACAGAGTTACCAAAGCTTGAATTCAACCCAGTTGGCAGAATACCAACTATATCACTTTCAGTTTCATCATGTCCTGGCTTCCCAATAACCCTGTAACCATTATAAGCAGATTGAAAATTAGTTCGTGACCGGTAATCCAAACCGCTCGATTCCAACTCCCCATCAGGCTCAAATTCAGTATCATATGCATCAAACTTGAAATCTTCATTTCCACCACTACAATCCTCCTCTGAGATTAAAGCAGCAATAAGCCTTTGACAGAGAGGAGTCACATTATGATCTCCCTTAGATAGTTCTAACTGTTCTGCAATAGTCCCACCAACCCAATGTGTCACTTCAGATCCGACATCCCTTTCACAGCCAATCAACCCATATCCATTAACAAAGGTTTCACAACCATCTATATTTGGAGGAATTGGAGTTGGCGTCAGCGTGCTTGATTCAAGATTTTCCTAAAGAGCAAGTGAAGTATTTAAAAAGTTTGAATAATATGTTCTAGGATTGTCTCAGAAATCCCAATTTTTTAAACCAATTTAATTTTGCTTTAATCATCAATAAAAATAAAAATATAATTTATAAAACACTGAAGGTGATTTTTTTTATACATCAAACTAAAACACAACACGTGTAAAAAACATACATAACATAACAATTAATAGGATGGCCATAGTTCCATTCAGGACATAATAAACACTTAATAGTTAAAAAAATAGCATCCTAGCTCTGAAATAATCAATCAAAGGTCATATCAAAGCTATATTATATAGGAAATTTGTTGCTTGAAATTACTAACAGCCAAAAACTAAACATCCTACTATAGATGGCAAAATCAAAACACAGCTACCACTTTTCCAGACATAAGTCAATTACGATGAGCTTTTTCAGATTCTGCCTTAGGTTTACATAAACAAGAGGTAGCACAGCATTGTGCCATAGTTATCAAATGACCTCGGATGCATACAGAACTGATCTGTATCAGTGTCATATCCAACTAAAACTGTCAATAGGCGTGCAGCATTTCATGTGCTATCTATAACACCAAATAAAAGTCTAAACCAGAAGGCACGTCATCAAGTTTGATGCTCAACCATTCTCAATAATAGTTGTGGTGCACACGAGAAACATCATTGCATCCAATAAAACTAATAAAAAGATCTAAGAAGATAAAATAAACCTACTAGTATTGACAATAACACATTAACACACAGTGTTCCTCATTAATAATCATGCATGATACAGTTAACCTGGTAACTTATGTGGAATTAATATATTATGGACACCATCACAAAGGTCTAAAGCATTGCTGAAATTGGAATTACCATGACTGAGAGTCAAGAGTCAGCATGATTACTCATCCAACACAAAAATTAAAAAAATAAAATAAAAAGTAGCAATAACAATTGTCATTTGTAATCATTAAAAAGGTAAAGATCAGTACCTTTTTCTTCCAGTAAGTAATATCGTCCTCAGATATCAAACTGAAGAAAGGCTCCATATGCCGCCAGAATGTACTGGAAAAGGCACGAGCTGCAGTAATAAGAAAATTCAAAACTAGTCCAAAATATTTAGGCTGCAAAGATAGATAATATTTAGTAGATTCAAACCAGAGTTGATAACACCCTTTGCAGCAGCCAATAGCTCTTCATGCCCATCTTCTGACCCAACTAAACCAAAAAAACCAAGAGTGAATAATGATATACTAGTACTGCATACAAAAGTTGAGTTCATTAATGTTTTCTAAAAGCTTAAACTAGTACCAAAAAAATCTGCTGCCGCATTGATAGCAGTAGGTTTTTGACGTGCATAGGCCTTACGATCAGAAAGTTTCCTGGTTGGTGGACGACCTGCCTTGCTGCAAGGATTTCACAAAACCACAAGACTTTAATCCATGTGCCCAAACAAACTGTCAAACAAATTATAAAATACTTAGATAAACGATTTTAACCTTTCATTCTTATCAGATCCGAGTCTTGCACTTCTAAGTTGTTTTGCAGTTCCTATATTTCCAAGCTTCTCAGATGTCATTGGCACCAGTGACCTTGTGGCAGTAAAACCACGTCCTGTCCTCCCTTGCCTCCTAACACCATCTCCATGTTCTTCCCCAGAAACAAGCTTATTCTTTCTTGTTGGCAATACCAGGTTAGACATCTTTTGAACATTTTGTCCAGCTTTCAGATCTATCTCTTCTGATTTCCTGCCCTTTTCTTTTGGTTTAACCTCAGCCACCCCTGACTCTTCACTTTCAGATAAGGCAGCTGAAGATGAAGGATCACCTTTTAACTTAATTTGCTGAGAACCGCCAGCCAAGCGTCTGGCAAATCCTAACCCGACATCATTACCAGCCACATCAGAGGCAGAATCCAAAGCAGGGGCATCATCATTATTTGAAATAATGGGCATGAAATTTGTTCTTCTGGCAGTGCGAGAGCTCTTTTGCGGCCTCTGCCAGTGGACAACAGGTGGGGAAGATGATCGTGCTGATGCCACACGTTTACGGTTGTTGGTACCAACACCAGCAGGGGGCTTTGTGGCACAATGAGACAGCTCCCAATCATTAGGAACAGCTGCTCTATGGACAACTGGTGACAACTTGGGGGCAACTCCAGAACCTGATCGAGGAGCCCGAATAGAGGTATTCATTTTTGTACCTGAGTTAGGGCTAGCTGAATTATTTTCATCACGAACAGTTGCCCTGGGCATAGAACAAAACATAGAGAATGAATCAATTATAGAATACATATCACAAATGTATTTGAACACTCCTTACAAAGGCTCCATAGGACATGGAAATGGAACAATTGAACAACCCCACCAAAACAAGAAGAAAATAAGAAAAAATCAACATGGAGAAAAATGTAGCCAAGGACAATTCTTTTTCCCAAAAACACAAAATCATATAAAGAAGAAATGGGATACACAGTTTGTGCTTACTTGTTAACAGCTCTGAAGTTCGCCCTATACTTGTCCGAACTAACAGGACGTCCCCGCCTATCATTGACAATGGAATTATTATCTTGGTCCTTTCTAAGGGTAGAGGCATGTATGCTCAATCCAGTCTGTTGAGAGATACCATCTGATTTTCCAGCTCCAACGATACCATTAGAAACTCCCGTCCTATTCAAAGATACATGAAAATATTATATTTATAGCGATTTCAAAGGAATTCCTATTATTGAGATGAGAAGAGATTGAAGAGCCTAACTGTCTTTGTTTAGACATATTTTTTCTTTTTTCTTTTAAGAATGACATTCTTATCCTCAATCATCCCACAAGATGTATATTTTCTCCTATCTTTCAATTAATATATTATTTTAATATAAAAAACAAAACTATTTTATTGAAAATTGAATATGATACGGAAATAGCACCAATTACTAAACATATTCATACCTGAAAGAATCATTGCTCAATTTTGACCGAGAATCAGTAACAAGTCTTTGTTGAATTCCCTGTTTAGTTTCCTGGAAGGCGTTAACAGGTTTAGTCAATGTTGTACTTGGAGAACCATCTTGTTTGATGCAGGAACGCTTCTTCTTCATTTTGGACTTTTCCCAACCATCGCCTTCAATAGTTAAGGTTCGTTCCTCGCTCTGAAGTGTACCGCTATTGGCAATCCGTAGTTTATCCTTATCTCTATCAACTGTACCCGATGGCCTGACAAGGGAATTAGTCCGTACATCCATCTAGAATTTATCAAAATCCAAGTCAGTTTTACTCAACAGATTTTAAAGTATGCCATGTTAATCTGGAAGCTGACTCTCCATATAAACACACACTGCCTTATTAAAACAGAAAAACTGAAAAAGCAGAATATTGTATATTTCACCAATCAACACTTTCAGAGGAGCAATGAGAAAGTCATAATCTAACTTAAGATCATGAAACACCTATACACAAGCTTAAGAGTGGAACACAAAATGTACAAAATAAATCAACATATAAATTTTGTTTATAAAATAGAATTTAACTAGAACACCGATGGGGAAATGTTCTAGCAGGCAACTTTTGTAAAGGCAGAATTTAACTAAAGTAGGTTTCCATGTAAAACAGAGATATGGAGAAGAAGTGTTGTAAGATATACTACAAGTGTATTTATATTATTTATAACCAATAAGTATTTACTTTAAAACTGTAAGAAACAGAATAAGCAACAATAGGAGGCATTAAAAGAAGAGTGAAATCGTGTAGTGTTAATGCTAGCAAACAAGCATGGGAAAAAATCAAAGACACATACCCTTCCATCAACCATTGAAGTTCGAGTGCGCTTGTTTGGAACAAGATTTTTGGTCCGTTCTTCTGACTTTTGCTGCTCATGCTCAAAAGCACCAGTGACAGGATGACCTTGAACTCCAACCTTACCTGTACTTGGCCCCAAGACCGACCGATCACTTAACATGACACTAGAACGGTCATTAGAATAGCCTTCAGCTCGAGATCTCTTCTTTGTAGTTATAGCTGGGAAAAATTTGTGAAATGTAGATAAAGTCTCACCGAACAATTTCGAACGTTCCCTGTTGAATAATACATGTTATGCGATGTTATAGCTTAATTACCCATCTAACTTCAATACAAGTAACAAAACCTACAAAGAACTACCTCGCCTTCACACCGCTTGCAGACAAACTATCCTTGAGTCGTCTGATGTCTTCTGGTAATGGGGATGGTAGTAGCTTGCCTTTTGAAGAACTAGATGGAGATTCATCAGGTGAAATTCCAAGGGCAGCATTAAAATGTCGCTTATAATCCATTTGACGATTAGACTTAAGCTCTGATGCTACCAACTTTGGATCAAAATGTGATTCATTGAAGAATCTCTCCACATCCCCATGTGTTGCTGGAGAACTGCTTCTCGACATGTTGGGAAGAGAAGACAGAATTGGATTTTCCATGCTTTCCCGAAAGCTACCTGATCTATCTAATGAAGCAGCTATGTGGGATCCACGCTGCCCAGTGTACAATGGTCTATCTGGGCTACTGGAAGATGGACCAAACTTGCTAGATGTTGCCATTGCACTAGTTCCCACAGATACTTTGAGTCAAAAATACAGAACAGAGAGTGGTGCATGACAAAGATGCAACACTATAGCACATAAAGGGCAAATCTAAATTACAAGAGAACAATTGGACAAAGCACCTGAAAGGATCAAAATAATCACAGAGAAAAATCAAACTCTATTGGCTGAGATATGGAGATTTTTATGTGCACACCAAAGGTGTGGCTTGGGAATGCAAATGAGGACTCAAGCTCAAAAGCACCAAAAATTCATGAGAAAGAAAAAAATCTGTCAAATTTATTAAAGGCTAAGGGATTTGTAACACAGCATATAGAGCTTATCTGAATGGTACAGGTTATATCATTCTCCAATTCCGAACCCCAATGTTCTATAGTAAAAAGGGTCTAATGTATTCAACATATATACTAATTATTTCCAGAGATGATGAAACCAAGCCCCCATAAATGTCAAAATTTATAAAAGTAAATAACACTATCAGTACCAGCATGTAAATAACACCCATTCTGCTTTATACAGGACTAGATCCTCATTCTTATATCACTAATTTATCATCTCTCCATGTAGTATACCACCTCAACCAAAAAAAATAAATTTCAAAACTAATCTCCAGAACAGAATCTCAGTTTACCAACGTATACACACAAGACTGAAGACAAGTCCTCATAGCACATCAACCTTCTTCTATATGACTTTAACTATCACAGTTGCAGTTGAATGAAGAAAGATTTATGGCAGGTAAAAAAATTCAGGTAAAATGATGTTAAGATGTAATATACTTTACCTTTAGTCTTAATAGCAACTATCTGCCATCAGACACTGATTTTGCATTTAAATGCAGGTATGTTTTGAAACTTCAGATTATTGAATGAAAAAAACTTGATGTTAACAGGCACAACCATGCAAATGGAAAAACGTGAACCATAAAACCATGTGTATGAATTTTTCCAATTCTACATCAGTCAAAAAGTCAACATTTCCGAATGTGCCAAACAGTAAACATCAAATGCACACTGTTGTTTACCATTTTTCCTTCCAACACTCTTACCCGTCTTTTATAGCTCTTAACTTTACTTCCTCAGTTCAATGCACTATCTACTAACATATTAGGCAATGACGGCGCATTAAAAATTACTATGCAGTCTGAACTTGAAGAATCACTTTTATTATATGATATAACAAAATATAATTAATATATATATATATATATATTTGGTATATTATTATCCTCAGTGAAATTTCTGATTTAAAGGGATAGAAAATAAATGCGTATCTATCAACGAATAAACTAGTGTTGCCTATGCTGTAGTAAGTCCATGCAAGCAGATACACCTTCTACCCTATTTCCTCCATCTCAATTTTGCACGAAAGCACAATTTCTTTTCTTTTCTTTTTTTAAAAAAAAGAGAGAGGATGAAACCCTAGAGTTTGAAAAAAAATAAAAGGACAAAAGGGAAATAACGAACTACCTTCATGACATGACCCAGTAAAAGCATAAAAAATTGCAAATAAAAACAAAACCCTAGAAGTTGAATCAAAATAGGGCAAAATTGAAAATTGAAGAAGACCTTGAATCTTGCAATAATGAGAGAGTGTTATTGGAATTTTTGCAGATTGCGAGAATCGAGGGGTGTGGATGTTACGGTTAGGAAGAGTTGAGTTGCCTGACGCTCGCTGAGTTGGAGCTCGAAATTCGTACGAAAACGAAACCATGGAGGTCGAGGAGTCCGGTGTTTTGATCAATGATCGGCAACAACTTCATATTACAATTTTACCCCTCTATCTGGTTTTCGATAATTAGCATTCCTATCCCCACAGGGGCTTTTCCGGATTCAAAACCGTGAAACTGGCAATCTGTTACATACATGTGCTCTCATTATATAGTATCATGTGAATTAATGTTATATAGGGGCCTATTAAAATTAAAATAAATACAAAACGCAATCAGCTCCTATTACATTAAATTCAAAATTCAAATAATATTCAATACACGGAAAATTGATTGAAGATTCTGTTAATTATTACATTAAATTCAAGATTCGCAATCAACTCCTTTTTGTTTATGGAAAAGATTTGACCTTTGTTGCCTGTTGCGATTTGATAGGAGCTGATTGCATTTTATATTTAATAGAAGCTGATTGCATTTTGTATTTAATAGGAGATGATTGCGTTTTGTATTTAAAAGGAGTTGATTGCGAATCTTGAGTTTAATAGGAGCTGATTGCATTTTGTATTTAATAATAGGAGTTGATTGTGTTTTATATTTAATAAGAGCTGATTGCGTTTTATTAAGAGTTGCCATTTTACGAGTTGGTATCAATGATTTCACGCTCATTTGCGATATTTAATCGATTATATATAAGTTTTAATCGATTAAATCAATTAAGAGGGAGATTTATTTGATTAACTTGAAGATTTAATCGATTAAATCTTCAAGTCAACTCTTTTTTTTCAGTTTTGACCATTTAATCGATTAAAAAGGGGCATATTGGTAGATAGTTCTGAATAAGGGACAAAATAATTATTAATTAATTAATAAGGGACAAAAGGGTCAAATAGCCATAACCTTCATATATATATATATATATATATATATATATATATTATTTTCCCCGACTATTATTTTGCTTATCTTTGCGTACCTCTCTTAACACCGTTAGATTACAATCTCATCCAATGATGGGGATTTGCGTAATAAAATAAATTATTTTTCTCTTTCTTCTTACTACCTCTCACACTCTTATTCTCTCCTCCCGTTTCTATTTATCAATTTGCGTGATTTACAACCTGAATTTATATTTGAATATAAATTCAATCAATGATTAATGGCATGATAATTTTGTTGGATGAATATAATTTTCAAAATTCCTTGAATATGATATAATGGATCATGGCAAAAATACAAAAAAAATGAAAACCACGAAGAATCCCTTCCTTTGAATTAATCCACGATTACAGTAACGTTCTTATTTTGTTATTGAAATTTGAAATCAAATTAACTTATCTTCTTCTTCTTATCTTGTTTTCCACCTTCAAGTGGAGAAAAGATCTTTTTCTCTCTATGTTACGCCCAATAACAAGGCATACCTGATCCCATATCATAGGGCATTTGGGTTTGTTTCTTCTTAACACCTTTTTCAATTTGTTTTTTATATAAATGTTCATAACAATGGTTGGATTGGATTAATTGAGAAAAAAAGCTTACATTTTTTTTTATGTTGAAGCACCATTAAAGAGAGAGAAAGGACAAGAGAGAGAAATAGTGAGAGGCAATAAGAGGGAGAAAGGAGTAAAATAGTTTATTTTATACAGTAAATCGTCACCCTTGGATGAGATTATAATCTTACGGTGATGAAAGGAGTAGGTAAAAAAGGAGTAGGTAGAATAACTTATCTCATATATATATGGCAAAAAATTGTCAATGTAACAGAGTGAAAATATTTTATGAATAAATCATGTTTTTTAATTTCGTTAACGCACAACAGGCAGGACTAGTGCGTCATTTGTCAGGATCAGTTCCTCCAAAGTTGTATTAAATTCAAAATTCATGCAATTTCTCAAAAAAATTAAAAAAATATATACTATCTAATCCTAATTTATTTTTTTTGGTAAATTAAAGGGCCAGAGCCCACTATGTAATCCTAATTTAAGTATATTGTAATAGAGCCTCAAAATATAATAATGTTCATCTCATATTTTAACGTAGTATTAAAACATTTTTCTTTGACAATAAATTCTTGTGGATATTGAACATAACATTATTTATTTGTAATGTCCGTATATATTATTAGTTTGTTCAATTCCATATTATTTCTCGCATTAATTTTTTTTTAAATTGTTGTAAAATGATTTATTATTTTATCACTTGGCGTTGTGCTTACTTTTCTTAATTATTTACCTCCCTTATGTTTTTTACTTGTTTACTAGGACAAAAAAGACAAATTACTTCAAAATTTAACAACATGAAAAATGGATTTGGATACAAAAAATCACAAAAAATATAAATGATAAAAAAAAATATAAAAGGTAAAATTATTTTAAATCAAATCACAGGGGATTTTTAACTTTTTCTAAGATTTAAACAGTTTTTCATCGCAATGAATAGTTTCAGTCTAAACTCTTTCCTTGATTTCTTTCTGGCATTATTATCACAAGGAAAACTAAATAAATAGAAAATGAGATGAAAGGTGAGAGTAAAAAAAAATAGCGAGAAAGAGGATAATCTAATATATTATATAAAATAAATTTTATTTTCAAATATCGTGTTACGTGTTACCATCTCAATTATTATTATTTTGGAAAAAAATTAAAAAGGTTATATTTACAACTTTTTCTTTTCTTACTATTTGTTACCACCACTTTTATGATAGTAGGTTTCAACTTTCATGTCACGTAACACTATTATATTCATGTTTTTTTTTTCTTTCTAAAAAGATTTATGATAATAGGTTTTAGTCACCTAACACTATTTATTGTTTATAACAATCTTGATTAACACAATTCGTATATGTATCAATTAATTAATGTGATTATCAAATTATGAAGTGATTATGTTATGTGCATGTCAATTTTAAGTAATCTGAAATAATTTCACATGCTTTTTAAATTATTCATTTGATTTTAATTATGGGAATTTTTTTATAAATACCTCTAATGTTTAAAGCATTTATACTCCTCTATTAACTTTAAATAATAATGTAAGGCATAAGATATTATACCTATTTTTTTTATGTGTACTCTAGCAGTCTAGTTATTCATTTTCAACATCGTTAGATCAGAATCTTAAGAGGAGAAAAATAATAAAAGTTAGTTGAAATTTTAATCTACCGGTGTTGGAGATGAATAGATAGAGTAGAAATCAAAAAAAGTAAACATAATATTCATATCCATTATTTAAAGTTAACTGGAGAGTATAAATGATTTAAATATTAGGGTATTATAAAATTGTCCTTTTAATTATTTATAATTAAATTTATTATGTATCAAGTGATGACTTTATAAAATGTTAATTGTAATCACATGAGATACACATAATAATTAATTATCTAATTGTGTTTAAAAATAATTAAAGTGAGAGCGAAAAAAAATAGTGATCAATATAATAGAAGTGATAGCTTTGAATAATATAGAAAAAAGATAACAGGTAAGAACTCGCGCGCACTAGATTCATTTACAGAAAAAATAACAGGCAATCATTTTCGTTCGTTAAAATGGGCATAAATAATACGAATTCAACTTTTTTTCCCCTGAACTACGAGTTCGCTGTATTTGTCGTTTAGTATTGTTGCCACGATAGTAGTCAGCCAATAGCCTCGTAGGCTCATAGCTTAAGCATCATGTCATGGAACATGGATGCTTTTTGTTTGGCATTCTAACAGCAAAGTGGCATTTAGCATATTAGGCAAAGGCATAGACGACATAATTCTATTATTTAGAAAGAAAGTGCAGACAAATCACTTATGGGTTTAATATGCTCTTTTCACTTAAGTTCAATAATTTTAGTGAGAGTGAGTCCAAAGTCCGATTTTAACCCATGAACTTAGGGTTAGTTTAAGATTGGGCAGGGTATATAATCACACTTTTCTCCCTTGTGCCTCATAGGGTTACAGACATCAGAAACACACCACCTAAGAGGCAGACGTTCATCATTTGAACGGTTGCCCACACGACCACCTGATCCCCTTGAGTCATAGACTGGAAGATCAACCGTAGAGCGGAATTGCGACCGTTCGTGGTGCGTTGCTGCAGATCGTGAGGCTTGAGGAGGAAAACAGAACGTGAGAAATTGTCACGCTCGCTGCTTCATCTCAGGTAATCAAAGCGGTGTTCTTCATTCCTCATCACATCGGTACAATGAGCTTCCGCGTTTCTGATGATTTATTTTTGTGATTTTGAAAATATGGCACCTTTATTCTGTATCTGTTATTGAAACTCATGTTTTAATTCTTTATAGTTCATTTTTATAAAAGTTTAGATTTTAATCGGTAAAAATGCTTTAATTCATGGTTAGGGTCTTTCGTGTATTTATCGATTTGTAACAAGGAGGCTAATCCCATGATTAGGTTTCCTCCTTGCAGTTTTTTTTAATTTTTCAGAATTCTTGTGTATTTTTCGATATTTTGTAAAAATTCAAGATCGAGAAACCGCGAGGAAGATGCGCAGTCAGCATTGTCGGAGACTTTTCGAGGACTTCTCGATCTCAGAATGGGGTGATCTATATATGGTTGGAAAGAGGACAGAAAGAAGAACGCAACGGTGGGTGGATCGCCGCCATCGGAGCCTTAACGCTCCTCCAAGCGCCTCCACAAGAGGCTGAGAGTGGCCGCCACTCTCCGACAAAGAATGGGAGAGTGAGGGAGCGTCCGGCCACATTTTTGGGTGGTTCCGGCGGCGGTGCACTCGTCTCTATGTGGTGGTCCTTCCCCTGGAGTTTGGGCCTGATTTGACTTCAGGTGACGGCGCGGCAGACCTGACGGCTGGGGTTCCTCTTTCGCGTCCTAGTGTTTCTCGCCAAAGGATTGGGCCTTTGGGCTTTTGGGCCCATGGAAACCCTAAAGGGGCTTGAGACAAATACTATGGGCTAGGCGAAAGTCAAATTCCAAAGTTGTATTATTTTATTTTATTTTATTTTCTTTAAAATAGGAAGACCATGGATTAAAGTAATTAGGATTTATTATTTAATGCTTTTATTGAATGATATAAATTATATGTGCGATTAACATGATATTTGCGATAACATGTCATATAGGATAGGAAGGTGCCATATTGTTGCATGATCACATGTCATACGTGAATATTTACTATTATGTCATTAC